AACAGATTCAATCTCTACTACTCAGATAGATAACTTTTCACCAACCACTACCTAGATGAAGAACTCTTCAAGATTTCTCCTTCATGGAATCATTCAACTTTACAGGGTTGAAAAACTTTATTTTAGAAAGACCAATAAAAAGTATCCCGATCTAGTAAAAAATTATATTCAAATCTCACCTACACAAATGAGAACACCAACTATGAAGTTAACAAATATCCTATCACTCTCTCTCTCTCTCTTCGGAATTTAAAAAGCATCTGCAACCTACCCTACTTAGAGCAAGATTATGATCAAAATTATGAAGGTAATAAACTTGATCTTGATACTCTTGCTCATTCATTCATCACTGATCCTACCTCATATCTACCTTCTTTATTCATTTCCGGATTCATTCTTTCAAACACATGTTTGCTGCTCTCACTTCAGATTCATCCTCCTTTCATTTGCATACCTTTATTGGACATGTATGTTATATTTTGTTCAAGGGTTTCTTGTTGATGAATGTCGTTGTTAATATTTGTTTTAGATGAGTTTATTGTATCTTATGTGGTTTGATCCTTACTAAATATATAACTTTTTGAATTGTATTAAAAAATTATAATATGATATATAAGAAGTTATATTTGAAAACAAGTTACAATTCAATTCTAGACAAGAATCCTTTAGTCCAATATCTGCATTTTGTTCTTTAACTGTGAGAATTTGGTGTAATACTTCTTATTTTTCAACCTATTCTTCCTTCTCCTCTAATTTAGTTTACAATCTAAATAAAATGCTTCAAAAAGAAATAGAGGTGAAAGAAGGGGGTTGGAGAACTAGGAGCATAAAAACCAAGTTCTCACTATTAGAGAACAAATTGCAGATAAGGAGTTGAAGAATTCTTATCTAACATTGAATGTGTAATTTGTTCTTCTAATATAACTTTATTTGTTATATTATAATGTTCTAGATTAGAATGAAAGGTTATATGTTTAGTGAGCATTGGCGAAATTAGCCTTCCATATTAATTATATTAAACTTAGTGTATATATCACAACGGTTGGTTAGAAAAGTCGTTGTTATTTTTTTTCTTAAAATTATACCACAATGGTTATTTGGAATAACCATTATGGTAGGTAGCGTGCTACGGGACATATCATCACGGTCGCACGCTTGTGGTGGAAAGTATCATACATACAAACACCCCTTACTCACAACGGTTGGTAGTCTGTTATGGTATCTCTTTTACAACTGTTATAGTTGACTTTTCCGTAGTAGTGTATGCTTCTAGATACGCTTGCATGAGAACTTTCCATAAGTCATAATGTTTATGTAAGAACAAGAAGTGTTTCTACATCTGGCTTTAAGATTTTGATGATAACTTTACATGGTATCATAAAGAACAATTGTATACTCTAATAGTTTTATTCTAGTGTGTAGCTGTTACTGTAATGTTCTAACTCTGATATCAAGGCGCGTGACGTCATTAGGTTCTTAACATACACTTCGGGAAGAAAAACATGTGGTTACGTGTTATAGTGAAGTCAAGATTCTGGAAATACATCTTATGCAACAGTTCTTAGGAACATTAGTACAAGAGGTTTTGATGGTAAATTGGTGGTTAAGATTTGGAGGCCTTCTAAAGCTTTGCTTATGTGTGTTAAAAGTCCTGAAGATTATGAAGATGAGGTTCTACTGAACAAGTTCTGATGATCTGAAGAAAAGCAAGTTCTTACAACCAAGTGCTGAAGACTCTGAAGACAAGGTTCTGACAGGACAAGGTTCTGAAGACTCCAAGACTTAGGTTCTAAGACTTAAGAGTGATTCTTCATCAACAAGCTTCAAACATTCAAATTATCTGAAGCCTCTGAAGATAATAAGAAGTTAAAATGGTTAACGTGTGATGGTGTACAAAATGTATATAAAGTGTTTGTGACCTCTACCCTATAGGGTGGCGTAAGGACATTCCTTTTGCACTGTATTGTCACCACTCTCGTTGTAACCGTTGGGAACAAACGACTGGGTTTCAGCAAACTTTCTTGACTTAACGAATCTCTGCTTACAAGTTTATTAGAAAAACATTATTCAGATAAAAGGTGGAAATCTATCATTGGAAAGTGACAAGATACAAAAAAAAATATCATTTTATATTGTCTAAACTCTTACACCTTATTCTATCCATTGAAGAACTAATTGTTGGTGCAGGAAAAGACTTTTCTATCCTCAAAACGTCTCTCTCTTTCAAGGCTATAAAATAAGATCAAAGATTCGGAGAAAATGCCTATGGCCACGAAGTTGAAATGTTGTGGATGTTGAAACTTTCAAAGCTACAATGCTAAACATGTTGAAGACCACTACACAGAAATGAGATAAAATAAAGAAAGATAAAGAAGAAGACTACAAGATGCTACTCCAACTGATAATCATATACATCTTGGTAGATCTCAAAAGAAGCAAGGAGTCGTTGCTCGTAACTTGCTCAACCAGAAGATGAAGAAGAAGAACGCTACAAGATGCTACCCCGACTTCTGATCAAATACATCTTGATAGAACATTGTAATGTACAAAATAGTTGTTGCTCGTATTATGTTATAGTTCTAATCTCTTCATGTAAATTGTTTTAACACTAGAGTTCTTACTCGAAAATGTGTTAAACAATATGTGCTTAAATCATCTGTGTAATCTTCTTAGAAGAAGAAAACATGTAAACACAGAAACCTTATCAACTGTTGTTGATTGATTCCTTGAGTGACCAAGTTAATGTTTAATATTAAGAAGATAATGGTTGCGGTCATTATGGTAAATCCTAATAGGAGATTACTGAAGTGGTAAAGCGACAAGTAAAAGTAAGTATCTTTATAGGGTATATCATATTGTCTCCATAGGATTAGTGCATTCTGAATTTCTGTTCGACAAGTCTTGCGTTTATGAGTTTGGTTTTAAATGGATTGTAAGGAAAGAGCGAAAACTATTGACAAGAAAATAAATACATTCTTTGGAAAGGGGAAACTTATCCGACATGAATTTACACTACTTGTTACAAACTTAAACATATCGATCAATCGCACTCAACATACAATACTCATCAAAATTATCATGTATCACTCATAACAGTGTCCATCTCTTCAACACTGATTTGAGAGAAAAATTGTATTACTCTCGTTGAGGATCTCTCAACCGATTAAATAACACGGAAGCATTAAGCTTCAATACCTATGTGATTATTAGCTCTAAATATATCTCTATAATATAGAAATTAAAATATTTCCTTCCATAATCAATATTTGTGAGGTCTATCTCTACAATCTAGAAATTAAAATATTTCCTTCCATAATCAATATTTGTGAGGTATGTCTCTACAGCAACACAAATCCAAACATAAATGCAAAAAGATCAAGGAAAGCACGAGATTGATTTGTAAAGCATATATATTATACAACACCATGATCAATACATATACATAGGTTTAGAGTGAGAGTATAAATAAAACCCAAAAAAATAGAGTTTACAAAAAGAGGAAAAATAGATAAACCGACAATTCTCGAGTTGTCAAGACAATTGGTGAGAATACACCTTCGATTAGACAAAAAGAAAGCTCCATTTATTGTTTTTAAGCTCTCTATACCAAAAAATGATGTTGATGGTGTTGGAACTCAATAATACCTAATCCATAACCTAAAAATGTGTTTTCTTGCCCTATTTAATGAGTTTTAAAGTCTCAGGGCGCGCTTAGCCTGGTCTGTGGGCGCTTAGTGCGCTCTGTGTTGTGTCGAAAAAAATTCAGCCTTTATTTTCACCATAACTTGAGAACCGTAACTCTGATTTGCACACAGTTTAAAGCATTGAAAAGTTTATTCAATACTTTATATAACAATGATTAATATCAACCAAATTGATGATTTTTATCTTCTTTAATTTGAGCCTTATTCATTGATAAATTGCTCAAAATTGCATTCTTGGAGCTTAGCCTTTGGCCTTTATTACTCAATGCTCCAATTCTGAATGAATACCTACAAAAGAGGTGAAAAACTATCAAACGATACAATATTTATACTAAAATACAAATATACACAAACTAAATGTATTTACAAATAAAATGGGGATTTATTACATGAATATCAATAAAAGAATAGATAAGGGCCACAAAACTTATATACAAAATGATGACATTTTGGCACTTATCAACTTTCTCCAACTTTAAACATTGTT